GTTTTTTAATACAATTGACCCCTGTGACCTTGAATATAATTGAAGGTCATTCATTTGAACAAACTTGGTAGCCCTTCACCCAAGCATGCTACTGGCCAAATATCATCTCCCTGGGCATTTTGGTTATTGAGAAGAAGATGTTTAAAGTTTTTGACATATTTGACCCCTGTGACCTTGAAAATAGGTGAAGGTCATTTATTTGAACAAACTTTGTAGCCCTTCATCCAAGTTTGCTTCTGGCCAAATATTGACACCCTAGGCCTTTCGGTTATTAAGAAGAAGTCTTTTAAAGTAAAATATTGACGCCGGCCGGCCGACGGACGGACGGACGACAGACGCCGCGCCACGTGCCAGGTGAGCTAACAATGGCATGCTCGGATATGCTCTGGAAACCACATTCAGCATGAACAGACGCACACAAGATAAAGCTGATACTATATACCCCCAAACTGTTTAAGCAGGGGTATAAATAGGGTGTAATCAGTTATTTTGAAAACATTTTACAGTTTAAACAGTTAATGTCATTAACGAACGATACAGTTTAATTTTACCGAGAGTAATATTCCAAAAGTATTTTACCTACATGAACACTTAGTATGATAGTTTACTTGCACAGACAAAACTCTGAACATCCAAATAACGTTTGTTCGTTGACCTTGGTTCAAATAATTCACAAGTCAGAATAATAAGAAATTAATGTATAACACAGTTTTTGCAATTCAAATTAAAGCACGATATAACGTTGTGAAGCATAATGTGGTCAACAGACCCATTAATGAGCGCTTGCAGATTTTCTAGGGTTTCCGGTACTATTCAAACATGTTCTGTACTTCACACCACACCCGTAGAATCTACGCAAGTTCTACCTCTTAAATATGCAAGTGCATAAAAAACATCAACAGGTGAGGCTCTACTATATATTTTCAATATTAAGTGTCTATCTGCGCAACAATGGATAATTGGTATGTAGCCATGTAACCATGGGGCTACCTATAGCTATGGGGTAAATGTCCCGCTATCTCATCATTGAAGTTCGTTACCAGTTTGTAGACGGCCAGTCGAGGAACCAGTTAATGATTAAACATAACCAACACTCGTAAATATTCATCAATTTCTTTGCATTTGTATATCATAAATCGTTTAATAAAAAACACAGACATTTATTTTAAGTGGGTTTTTTTTAATATTCCCTCAAAGGACAGCTGACATGATATTTTTCAAAAGTTAACATAGATCATTGCTTGGATTTTACTTATATGTCACATTTTACTGAACACTATCCAAAATTAAAGCAGAGGACTTTTGTACAACCTATAGAAAATACAAACAAGAAAAATTAACAGAAATGTAACGAAAAACAAGTAGAAGCCATTACAATGCTAACAAGATCTGCTTGTTGATGAAGATGGAATATAGAATCTTACCAAGCTCCAAGAAGGGTGTGTGCTTAAAAAACTTTTCGAAATACCTGCTGATCATAAGGTACACAAAACAGTTGCATGGAAATTCAATATTTTCATAATTTCATTGGAGCAGAAGATTGAAAACATTTTTTTAACAAAAGAAGTGACATTAAGTTGTACTTTCAAAAAACGGTTATAACTTGTTTTATCAGGTTGAATCTAACATTTTGAAATTCCATCAGAAAATGGTTCTTGTATAGTGGTGATACTACTGTCTTTGATGAAGGAAAATGTTTAATGTAATAAATCAAGTGCGCCACTGTTGGTGATTTCATCTGACACTGTTTTTGTTCACTGTCGGTGATTTCATCACTGTTGTTGTTTACTGTCGGTGATTTCACCACTGTTGTTGTTCACCGTCGGTGATTTCATCACTGTTGTTGTTCACTGTCTGTGATTTCACCACTGTTGTTGTTCACTGTCGGTGATTTCACCACTTTTCACCACTGTTATTATATTTCACCGCTGTTGGTGATTACCACATCTTTAGAAGTCTTGCCCGATTCTGACCCGACTGCTTCCATTTTATCGAGGATCTCAAATCCGCTTATAACGTTTCCAAACACGACATGCTTGCCATCTAACCTGTTAATCCAGAAATAGATTAATCTTAAAATTGTTTCAAATATGTAGGTTTATCAAAAAATAGTGCAAATGGACTAAAAGAGGCCCAGAGGTCTTGTATCGCTCGCCCAGATATTTTGGTATCAGGTGAGCTAACATTTGTCCATATATTTATTATTTACTCATGAAAAAGGTACATACATGGTCAGTAGGCCTGAAAAAATGGTACAATTCGGTGTGGAATGATAGCTTTAATGCAAATGGTAATAAATTAAGAACCTACAGAACGTTTAAATCAGAGCTAATACCTAGCTCATTTGTCTAACTGGTTCGCCAGAAAAGCAAACGAAGGGTGCTATTTAATTTTAGATGCGGCTCGCTACCCCTAGCAGTTGAAACTGATAGATTCGCCAAACCGGTGATTCCTCTTCAAGAACGCATATGTAAATTGTGTACAAATGTAAATAACTGTACAGAAGATGAATTCCACTTTTTAATGAAATGTACTGTGTATAATGATATTAGATCAACTCTATTTGATGTGGTAAAAAATGTCTTCTGAGGAACTACAAATACCACTAGCAAATGATTTGTATAACATGTACAGACGACGCAGTTCTTTGTGCGTCTAGTATTTTACTACAATGCAAATAATTAATTAGTGTCTCGTAAGCCGTATCCGGCTGAGTATCACATTAAATTACATGTTTTATTTAAAAATACATTTTTTTTACCAGGGATCAATGCAGGGGTTTGGTTTATAAGTGGGTAAGCTCCCTTTAACTTTGAAATATTCTTAAATATAATAAAGCCATTGATCAATGTTTAAAGTTTACTTTTTCTCGATCGTGTTTTAAAGTTGTAAATGTACCTTTGAGATGGGACTTCGAAAATCCCTCGCTGGTAGGGACTGGCCCAACCGCTTGAAGCTAATTGTTTTCTCAATTTCCTTTTAACCTGTTATAACCATAGGTCATAGACCTAGAAATATTATTTAATTTGTTAATTATTGATCAATACTAAAATTTTGCCCTTTTAACCGTGTTTTAAACTATTAAATGTAACCTTAAGAAGGGACCTCGAGAAGCCCTCGCCGGTAGAGCTCTCCCCAACCACTTGGAGCCAATCGATTTCTCAATTACTTTTAACCTCTTATTCCTTTTTTTAAACTGATTAAAAAAATAAAAAAATAAATAAAGTTACATCATATGATTGCAGTGGCGCAGAGCGACCTGTCTTCGCTGGTAGCGCTCTCCCCAACCCTAAGGTAGCGCACTTTGAGTCACTGCAACCTACATGCTAATAATAATAAGGGTAGTCTCACAATAATCTAAGGTCGATATTGATCCCTATTACAAGTAGGTTTTTTTTATGTTAAACAAACTATTTTAAGTTCTAGGAAACAGCCAACTGCAAGTATTTAATATGTACCAATGGAATTGATTTATATTTTGTACAAGTATTTTATATGTATTAATGAACATAAATGTAATTGTGATATGTGACACTTAAATAAACAAATTGAACTTGAACTTTAACTTTATTTATCTTTTCTAAGAACTTGAGTTTCATCTAAAAAAATCTTGTGAATCAAGCCTTGAAACAGCAATATTTGACATATTTTTATTGATTTTTTGCTTTATTGTTTACCAATATGTGAACAGAAGCTGTGTGGTATATAGATTGTGCAGTGGATATACACATCACATGATTTGATGTTCTGCAATATGTTGGGAGAAAGTCGCAATCACAAAATGGCACATTCTACTGATCATGAATGTGATGGTTAAAACAGGAGAGAAAAATATCCAATGAACAGACTGGGATTCGAACCCGAGACCTCTGAATTCTACCATAGATATATATATGCACTAATAATTGAGCTACTTGGTTGCCAGCGATCAACCCAGTCCAGTTCCACTACATTCCTCCCTTCTTAGATCCTGAAGAGACACAAGACCCTTAAGCAACTTTCGTAGGTATATTTTGTTGGACATCAAAAGTAATTGTGAAAAAAAAAAGGAAAAAGGAACTTGGGACCCTCTGAATTCTAGACAGACGATATACCTTTTAATCTACCTATGCCTAGTTGCCGGCTATCAACCCAGCCCAGTTTCGCTACACATCAATGCAAAAAGGGTTTCCAAATGTCAACAAATATAATCTCAAATCGACGCATAGAATGACTTCCTGAATCGTACCTTGGCAAAAAATTCAAACTCCAATTTGGTAAAATCTATGATAAAACAGTCAAGATAGGCAGATCTCATTATGGTAGGACCAATAAAGGACTTCAGGCGTTACGAGTCATTTTTGGCCACATGAAAAGTGAAATTTCAACTTAAGATTTATTTACCATTATCTTTTATAAACATATTGGTAATTTGGTGCTATCTTTCTTGGTGCTTTTTTCTTAAATGCACATGCATAGATGCCCTACCCTACTAACAAAATTGCATTTCTATGCAGAAATAGCCAAAATCTGGTGTTTTTGGACAGTTATAGCATGCAGAAATAAAAGCCTCCGCTCATGACAAACAAAATTCCTTTCTACAAATGAACACTCGTGTTAAACAGTTATTGGTTTGGTGCATACACAGGCTTTCAAAAATTGAAAAGTGTTTCGTTAATTTCCTTTAAAATGGTGAATTTTCAACCATTGAGCACAACAGACGATATTCACACATTTTATTATGAAAATGATGTTTTTTGTCTCTCTTTGAAATGCCAAATATCCTAAACCAATTATCAAATTAATTTGAAACTTCTTATTTTGTACTTCATTTATTCTAGATAACGAATATAACAACTAATTTTAAATCCCCAATGAGGCCGGAAATGACCCATAACGCCCCTAGTCCCTTCCATATCCAGCTGATGGTTTTCCACAACTTACCATGCCGTTTTTTCTGTACATAGGAAGAACTGTGACCCATTGGTATTCTTGCCGGAGTTGGCCATTGAAAGCACTCCTACAAATAATTTGTTTTCAAACTTATTATAAACATCAACATCATTTCAGTAATCAAATACCTTTTCAAGACAATTAAATTAAAGACATACTGTATACATTTAACATTTTACGTTCAATTAAATTAAAACATTTAAAATTAAATTAATGGATATTACTAAAAGGTTCACAGATAATGATCGATTTGTATATTGTCTTAACAAATTTTCTAATGACAGCACCAGTGACCTTGATATATGAACCTAAATTAAAAAGCAAAAACTTTTCATGGAGAAAAAATGTGTGAAGTTTGAGCATATCAACCCAGAGAAACTTAAGCTTTTGAGCAGAAACCTTTTCCTTATTTAGATACATGTAAAGTGAAAGTGACCTTGACCTTTGGCCTCTTCAATTTCAAGCAAGCACTTTCAGGAAGGAAACCAATTTTTTATCTTTAGTACTAGTAACTTTGACCTTTAACTATAAACCAATCCCTAGCAAACTCTTTCCTTAACCCTTTAACCCCTATGTAACTTTAGTAGACTCTACCATGCATTGACCTGGACAAGTCCATTAATGTCTACAGTGTTGAAAGGGTTAAGGCAGCAATGTATGAAGTTTGACTTTGATTATCCTCCTAAATACAAGTGATTGCATGGAAACCAATTTCCTAATTAAACATAAAACATTGACCTTTGCACTTCAACCCTGAACAGCAATCCTATGCATGCACCTTCCAAAGAAAAAACAGTGACCTTGAATCCCCAGACTCAGAAAAAAATTCTCAAGTCAATCTTTCTTTAGTGAGAAACCACTGTATGAAGTTTGAGTAGATTTGGCCCACAGGAACTCAAGTTATTGTGCAGAAATGAAGATGAAATTGTACAGATGTGTCATTACAATACCAACCCCCCCCCCCTCATCTCGATCTAGACTTATTGCCTATATATGGGTCTTCTGTACACAAGTTATTTCTGCTAATAATCATGATGACGCAATGAAAAATATATTGCAGTGTATACAACTAAATCAAAACTCCATTATCCATCTTTTATCTCTCCTTTGTTCTTGCAAAGAAAATTCTATCACAAATTACTGTGAAATCAGATATTTTCGTGTGGCCTTAGTTTTTTGGTTTCCTGCCGAAACATCATAACTATGACGATGGATCCCAAATCTCATTGACCCTGGCCTTCCTTTCTTACATTTCCTCTAGGAAAAAACAAGTTTTTACCTTTGCCAGTATGCTTCAATATGAAGTTTTCATCCTCAAATTTGTTTCCGTAAATACTTTTGCCTCCAGTTCCATTTCCCCTGGTAAAGTCACCTCCTTGACACATGAAATTCGGAATAACCCTATGGAACTTGCTATCTTTATATCCAAATCCCTTTTCACCTGTACAAAGGGCTCTGAAATTTTCTGCAAAAATGAAAATGATGGCGAGTCAATATGATCAATATTTAGTACATTATTACAGCAGAGACGTATATATTACAGAGATTAGCAACTTGCGCAGATCTCGCAAAAGCATGCATGATCATATTGTTCAGGCAGTGAAATATGATACGCCGTGAGACTTGGGTTGTGGATGCGCAATCACGCCGGAACCGGGTCTAGGATTGTTCGTTTTGACAGCTAAAACCACATGTCGAAGCAAACTGATGGCGACCCTAGCTAGCGACTATAATCTGGTCAATGCGTTACCTGTGAGAATTTGATCGTGTATTCGTTAGAACGTTCGTGTCAACATGTCACATATCATAGACATATATGGCTCATATTAAGAAGCTGGTTAGAAATATTAGGTAATATCTGAATACGTTTTTGAAATTGAAAGGAGTGCCGGTGTCATGCCGGAATTAACCCTCGCACATCACAACCGCCATTTAACGTGTATTTTCAGAGCTCAATTATCAAACTTTGCAAGTATTGTAAAAAACTCATTTTAAGAACCTGGTTCGAAATATTATCAAATAATTCATATCTGAAGATGTTTTTGAAATTGAATAATTAATAAACTAGAATTATGTCAGTGTGACATTAAAGCCGCTAACCACTTCAAATTTAACTGCTTCAGTAACACGTTGAGCATCAATATCTACTATAATACCTCAGATATGTTTTCTGTATTCTGCTAGTTGAAAATCAGGTCATGTGATGATGTTGCCTTTGGAATTTCCAAAATCAATCACCTCTTAAATGATGCCATAAAAACATTTCTCCCTCTCCTCTTTTTTCACCCTCTTTTGCGACGCATTGTTGTAATTTTCATTAATTAGCATCCTCCAATGATGTGACATGAGCATTTACGTGCAGAATGGCAATCAGTAAATGAGTAATAAAGAATAGGTGCATTTTGTGCTTGTGAAATGATGGATAATTAACGATAGTGGGAAAACATGCATGGAGAAAAAGAGACACTGTACCCTGGTGTCACCGGTTTTCGACGTTGCAAGAGCAAAATACTCCTTTTATTTTCATTTATTTTTTATTCATATTAATTATAATTATTAATGTATGTAGTGACTTTATTTACTGTCATTGAATATACAATTCATCACAAAATCTCACAAATGTTCTTGGAATATTTTTGAATTATATTTCTCAATGCGGCTTTACCAACGTAAGAGTTATTTCCCTTACACCGGATTGGATAATATTTTGACACAGCGTGAATTCTTGTCAAACAACAGCGGCAGTTGTTTCATGTTATTAAATTGTAACATTTTCATTAAATATACCAGAAATAGCATGCTGTGTTACAGAAATGCTTCAGTATCCTTCGATTTTCTTCGAAAAAGCAGGTAATGCAAAATAACTTACCTGCAGTTTTGGGAACAACGTCGCCGCGCAGCTACAAAAAAAAATAAAAAATCTTTCATATTACACAAATCAGAAAACAACCAATACAAAACTGACTTACATACTTCTCAACAGTTGATAATATTTCTATGTAACGAAGAAGAAGGTGCAAAACTGCATGCCGTTTAACAGGAAATATTCGTTGTACACGTATAAACCCTTGGTTGTTTTCGTGCTTGCTAAGGAATCCAAATAGATTTTTCTGACTTGTCACAAAAAAACGTCACAAAAAAATACCTTAGGATGTACAGTGATTTTATCATATTTCCCACTGTTAAATGAGGGTTATTAATCTTATTATGGTTGTTTTTATTTCGATACCCTTTGGTTGTGTACCAACCAAAACATTGATGAAATGGTGCACAGGTTAACATACGAGACTTTCTGAAATAATTGAAAAATGGCTATTTTCCTTAAAATATTGATGTTTGTATGACAATTCGACACGACCATTCCTGGTATGAAAATGATGATTTTAGCACAAGGGGAATTCTAATGGCAAATGGCGGCTGCACAGTTTCAAGAATGTAAGCTAATACATTTTGCAATGTAAAACTTGCTGCTGTTTTTGTCAGATTAGACAGTTTCAGTTTTGTGGGGTTTTCTAACATCGAATAGCTGAGGCTGTTGTGAAAATGCTTTAAAAACTAAGACTACAATCCACATTGATTTTGTAAATTTACTTGTTATTCCACTTTCAAGACTGTTTAAAAAATTGGTACAGACTGATAATCCTGTGTTGGCAATGTTCCAGGTCTTACTGGGAAATTGGTCATGTTATTATCTATTTAAATTCTCTGAATTTATGTTGGCTTAACTTTAATCCAGGACCAGGTTAGCACATATTTTAACTATTATATAATCATCCCCGTGGCATGGTTAGTTTATTCTATATATACAGTCCTTGTGCTTTGAAAAAAGATGGAGTTAACTCCAGATTTAGTGAAAGGTTTATATTTATACTTCCTTTATAAAGTAAGGAGCGTGTAACCCACAGAATCGGATCTTGTAACTTGATGGTGAGTTTTCATGATTTTTAATATATCGCTAGGGGACATCACTATTTTTTTACAATTAATTATTGGCGTTAAAATCAGAGTGATAGTAAACGTGAAATGTATTAATCTTCCATTTCATTTTAAATTAGCCAAGAATTCCACAGGTGTGGATGTGTTGCCTGCTCAGCGCTTTAAGTGAGAAAAGTGTTTTGGCTTGAGTTACCACACAACGATGAACAGCGTTGCTATGTCAAGTGTGATATGACAAAACACAGAAAGTTGAAACTCGACAGAAAAACTCTGAATATATGTTGAACATTATTGCTTCTAGCATTACTGTACAAAATTTGAAAGGAATTGATTAAAAAATATAAATGTTCTTGCAATTACTACACAATGCCCTTTTTTGGCCACCAAAAATGCATGTTAACTTCTGAAATGCGAACTCTTTCGGGCTATACTGGTATGCAATATGTGTACAAAGTTTTTGAGTTCTATCAACGCAAAGGAAACCTTGTTTTGGACGACGACAAAGTAATACCTATATGTCGCCTCGCATTGCAGGCAACACAAAAAGGATATTATTCCTGATATTGTTGTGAAAAAGAAAGAAAAAATGCACTTTCCAAAATTAGGATGAGTACGCTTCTTTTTAGCATTTCTTGAAAACCCACTGTTCTGCAGGTGCATTAAAAATAATTCAAACAGCTCTCAAGCATTCGGTTTTTTAGATAAAGTAATTTGCATTGGTGTTGAACTGTTCTGTTATCAGCAGATGGCAATAATTTAAACAAGCTTAAGGCGCCCACCATTGTACCATCTTCATTAGTTCTTTGTCAGTTTGATATTTTCTCTTCTTTTCTCTAATCAGTTTGATCGAGTCATGTTAACAGTGAATGCACCTTGGGGTAACTTTTGATCTAAACTAAATACTGCTGTGTATAAAGACCACCTTCAAAGTGATTTTTTTTAAATTTTGATACATTGTATAAATATATCACCCATGGCCATCGTACGCTACTGTACACTGCTACTTGTGTTGCCCAAACTAATTTTGAATCAACCCCTAATCATGTTAGGCAAAACAGTGCACATGGGGAATAATCCTGCATTCGGGTAACAGTTAGTGAGTTGAGTTGGCAGATTAGACAGTTTCAGTTTTGTGGGGTTTTCTAACATCGAATAGCTGAGGCTGTTGTGAAAATGCTTTAAAAATTAAAGTGAAATAAAAACACAAAGTTCTTTTTCACATTATGAACAAAAAAGGGCGTCATACTCTCAACAAAATTCCAATAAAAAATACAATTGTGTACAAAAATATGTAAATTCAGTTGTCTAAATTTTTGTGAAAAGGACAAATTGTATCACCTCCATTGCTTATAGCTGTAGTGTGTGTTGTAGAGTAGCTATAAATAGCACACATAACAAAAACATGCTCACCTGTCATATTTACACTGGATAGTCCCATTGACTACACACTGAAGCCAATGGAGAACAAAGTCAGTGATATGGTTTGTCCTTTTCACAAAAAGTTAGACATCAGAATTGATAATTTTTTGTGCACAAATTTACTTCATTGTGTTATCTATTTGATTTAGTTGACAGAATGACGCCCTTTTTTGCTCCAAGTGTTTAAACGAACTTTGTGTGTTTTTATTTCACTCTATTCCCCATTTCAGTAATAACAAATGGGTAACTGTTACCCAAATGCAGGATTATTACACATACTGTATGCGCCGCGCGTTTTGCCCAACCTGCTGAAGACTCATTTAAATTCCTCCAACTCAAATGATGGAACTAGTTCATTATGAAAGTTAACGTTTGAATGAGTTAAAACCCACACCGTAGAGTACAGCATAAAGTAGGCCTTCTGTACAGATTGTGGTTTTGTATTGAATTTGTCTTCCCTCCTCCGTGGAAGGATGGGAAACGAATGCACCCATTTTTCGGATCGTAAATTCTAGAACCTTCGGGTGTATATCCTACTATATTCATAAATATTACAGAGTACAATGTTACCTCCATCACTATCCTGCCTGCTGGCGACTTTCCGATTGAGATATCGAAGAAAACCTGGGATTTAGCCATTCTGTCACTTAGGGGGGAAACACGTGGTTTGCCTTCTAATCTTTCCGTGAAACTGAAAGAAACCGAAATTAATTTCAATTCCAAAATATTAACCGTCACAGAGTACATTTATCCAAAGTAAAATATTATTAAAATTTAGACATAACTGTTATTCGACATTAATCTTATTTCGCGTGAGTATAAGGCCTACTCATCCCTACGAACCTACCTGCTCCGATTTGCCGGTGTAGACTCCCAAGTTCCTCAGCCGGAAGCAGATCTGCATTCGACCGTGACGTCAGCTATGGAGAGACACGACGAGGTCAAGCGGTCAAACCACAGGGTTTCGTTACAAATGTGTACTAGATGACAAATAACAGTAGCATATGTGTATTTAGACATTTGCAAAAAAAAAACTGTGGTCAACCCGTTAGCTAGACGGACATTAGAAAACCTTCGGCTAATCGTTAAAAAAATATTGAAGATAAAAAATATTCATAATCTAACGGCTAAATCCGTCTGTGCTAGAGATCTAATTATAATCTTCGATCCACGTGATTGTCTTGTTAGTAAGGTGGGCCTACGTTATAACTTATTATACTTCTGATAAAAGTTACGTAACACAATCAGTCAACATATATAGGTATCTAGAGGCCTCGAGTCTACATGATTTTTACGGTTACATCTAAAACGATTTTAGCTGGCCTCAAAACTCCCTTTAACATGTTGAACCATAAGAAAATGTCGTACATGTGATTATATTTATATTTCTACTGAACTTGGACTCAATATACCTACTTAAGATTTTAAAGCTTTTTTTCAATTAACTTTTCAGTTGGCGTATGGATACATCAGCATATTATCAACCTGATTACTCTGTTATTCCGCGGAGCGCGGGAAGTCATAGATTTCATAGATTGTTTTCAATTTATTTTTGTCAGAAGTATTCAATTGAATTCAAAACATAAATTACATCTTAATTTGCTTATTCATCTTACCAGGACGACGTCTCACAGTGAGTGATGACGTCATCAGTTTTGATGCCTTCCATGGTGTTAGACTTGCACAAGACCGATATTTTAGAAATTATCAAATATCAATATCGCTCTGAATGTAAATATAAGGATAGGATCCCATTTTGTTGAGGTTTATGGGGTATAAACCTCAATGGGTCTTGAGACAAATTCAAAATGAACTGCCTCGCAAGACCAATTGAGGTGTATACCCCGGCCATAAACCTCAACAAAACAGAATTCAATCCTTAACTAAATGAATGTCTGGACATCAACTCCCCTACGTACATCAGATACAGTGGCGGACCCAAGAGTTTTGGCCTAGTTGCCCGGGGCAACACCCTTTTTTTCCTGTGTCCAAAAATAATCAGGACCAAGGTTTTTGAAGATTTTCCTCAATTCCATATGGGATTTCCTTCTAATATCAACCATCCCTTGCTCAACACTGATCTGACTGGAGACCCTACTAATATATAGACAATAAAGGATTAATCCTCTTTTGTTTAGAGTATAAGCAGGGATGTGTAGTGGACACATCCCTGGTATAAGTAGTGGACTCCTTGTTTGGGCAACACCCTTAGGTATATCACGAACTTAGATAATCTAATTCCGTGGGTATATATAGATGTTCAAACTGCTGGCAAGGGTCTGACTGACTCTACCCACGGACTTAGATCATCTGATTCCGTGCTCTACCTAATCATATTGTTCTAAATGTCACGGTGTGGTGATCACCCTGTCAGTTGGGAGAGGACTATACCATCTGTTGAAACTAGGTATATAAGTTAAGTGTTATGTCAAAGGTAACGTTAGAGTCAATTTCATGATATATACAACTGTATTTTCACCTGTGGTTTCATGTACACATGGTCACCAGGAGTGATTTATTATACCTATTAAAAAATTAAAAAAATTAAAGACAATAAAGCACCCTCCTTAGCATCGCTATTTTATCAGGTCAGAGACGTCTCTGATCAGGTGAATAATAACGAATGTTAGCATAAAAGCCTAGCATGTATATCCTTTTCATTTGGTATTGCCTTTGTACATATGTATACGTGCAATTTCATATTAAAAGAAAACAGTTAAATCAAAATTCATAGATATGACCAAAAAAAGGACAAAATAATTAATTGCCAAATGCTAAACTACATGCACATGAAGGGCATGACACAAACATCAACATTTTAACCAAATCCTACATTTCTACCATTGTGTTAGAGAATTTGTTAACACTCGATCCGCTCGCCATCACAAAATATAAATACTCTATGTTATAAAATATAACCTGGAAATACCGCAAACTCAGAAAACTATTCTATGCCTCACTCGAACTGTTTGACAATGGAAATAATATCCGATACATTCTTGCTTTCTACGCTCGGCTTGACATAGTTTAGTATAACATCTTCAGAAGAAAACAAACATTTTGCCTCGCTCCGCTCGATGGGGAAATTATAATTGTCACAATCTCAGAAATAATAAAGTTCTATATATTCTAATTAATTTATTAGTTCTAGATAAATGCAAAAAAATGTAGTTTTCTGAGTTTAAAGTGTTGGGCAACATAATTAATTCCTGGGTCCCCAGTCATAACCAACCAAGGTCATGGTTGATGTCATGGTGGAAATCAGGGTCAAGGTTCATACAAGTCCAGGCACGTTCGGACAGGTCAAAACAGTGGTAAACTAAGTTCCTTCCTGAAAATAAGCATTTACTTTTTAAAAGCCAGTTTCTCCCAGGAAACAACGGATAGATAAGAACTTCCGCGCCGGGTACGCCTCAGTGGAAAACTGTCCGGTTCCAGCTTAATTTATAGTTTATAACTTTGCATTGGGAGAGTCCTTAAGGTGACCAGGGCAACCCAAGTTTTTTTGACTTAGTATTTCATTATTATTTTAGGCAATTGGTCAAATTGGACAAATAGCTTGGTAAAGTTACCGTCTCACTCTGCATCAAGTTGACTATAACATTGCACGCCTCGTGTTTATGGTCTATACTTATGTCTCTCGCACAGGTAAGTTATCAAAACAGACAATGGAGTTACCACTGGTATCGGTAATAGAGTTTAAATTCCTCTTCGAATAGGTAACTTGATATCACACACAGAGGCCCATACCGATCATTAAATATTTGTAGAAAAGTCACCATTCAAGATAAATCGTAATTAATTGATTTTTTTTTTTTACAAAGGACCGTATTTATGTAACACTTCTCATGTGATTTGGTAAAAAAAGGTAAAGTGTAAAAAATATGAAAATACCATTCTGCTTTAAATATGAGCAGGAGAAAAGTTTCATGAATACCGTCCGCAAAGGAATATAATCGAAATGAAGACGTATCCATCCAAATCCGACGTAACGGCATCATGCTTTTTTTAAGTTACACAAAGAAGAAACGGGGCTCCATTTCCACCGAGTGGTATGTTCCTCAAGAATCAGTGGTAGCAACTGGTAAGGTCGACAGAAGTCATTTCAGAAAACGCTCCGTCAAAAAGGCATGTATACAGATATAAACATATTTAGAACGGTTTTGCTTTCGTTTGGGGTTTTAGCTAAATCCTATGGGGAAAAAAGGCCGACCAGCGGCCTCTTACTTTAAAAGAGTAGGGTTTTAGCGTTCTCGTAATAGCCAAGGTGACATATGAAGACGGGTGATTAAACAGTGACGTACACCACTGAAAAAAAGGAGCATGGTAGTAAGAAAAGATCGCAAGTGTTGTAATGGAGGGCAGCAACTAGACCAAGTCTGGTTTCTACACTGTCCTTTCAACTGAAGACAAAGAAAAAACAACTTCATTCCGATTTTGCAAAGGGGTTCCACATTAGTCGCCTCTTCCGACACAGCAGACCTATTCGATCTTTCATTTTCTCGAAAGTGCACATGGCAATCAGAGACGACCGTTTATGTATGAGGGGAAGTCGACAATGCTCTAGACCCACTGGAGATGATATATAAGAGCTATCGGTACACCGGAAACATACTATATAGCTTAGGGTATCAAGTCGTACTACACAAACACCCAGTGAGACATGAATTTGAAGAGTGGGTTTGTTGCCATTCGAGTTAAGGGACAGAAAAATTCCACTGGTGGTGGGCTCATTCTACCGACAGCTAACAAACACCTTAAACACACTAGGGTTTTGTGTGATGACGTCAAACAAGTTGTAAACAGCAACAATATTTCAACGCTTCCGTTAGTCGGTGATGCCAACTTACCAGATATCAACTGGGAAACGGACACCACTGGTGGGAACAGATACCCGAAGGAAATAAATTAAGGTTTCATCAACACCAAGTGTGATTCCGGCTTAAGCCAGATTATTAAATTTCCTACTAGAGAAGATACTATTCTAGAAACCTTCTTTGCCAACAGACATGGCTTGATCAATCGATGGACACCTACACCAGACATCAGTGATTACGACACCATCGCATACATTGAGGCCAGTGTCAAGGCAAACTATAGCAGGCCCTCAAGACGAAAGATCTTCTTGTGGGAAAATGCTGACAAGAACAGCTTGCATACCAGCATGGAGAAATTTGCCTCAGACTTCACCAAGTCACAGACCGTCGACACTTGACATCAGAACGCTGTGGAATATCTTTACAGCTTGATGCAATAGTCTCATATCAGACAATGTTCCATCAAGCTGACCTCCCAACGGGATAACCAGGTCTGGATAAATTGGGACACCAAGAAACTCTTCCGACATAATGAGTACGCTACAAGAAGGCTAAGAAGTTTCACCAACTCAAGAAGGACAACCAGACTGCACGTAGAATCACCTACAATGGACACATTTCAGCTATATGTTTGATGAAGACCATTCCACCAACCCGAAGAAATATTGAGGATTCATCAAAAGTAAAAGATCGGAAAACACTGAGGTCTCACCATTAGGGCAGGAGGGAATACTATATAGCGATTTACCAGCAAGGCTAACATCCTCGACCGACAGTTCACACCAGTCTTCACAAAGGAAGTGCTGTACCCAGTAAAGGTGATAGCCCTTATCAAGATGTGTGTGCCAGAGATCGTCATTTATCTTCTTGGAGTGATGAAGTTGCTGAAGAATATCAACATCCACAAAACCACTGGCCCTGATGCTGAAGGAGCTAGCAGGGGGCTAGATTACACCGGTCCTAACATCGATATTCAAGGCGCGCCAGGAACGGATACCAGACACGTGAAAATTAAGAAGCTGTGGTCACTTCTCATTCCAAGAAGGGAGATCGAGGGAAGGCCTCCAACTATCGCCCAGTATTCCTTTCCTCCGTCACATGTAAGACCACGGAGCATATACTTAACAGCAACATCATTGG